GGGCAGTTGCACTCGGGGAAGGTGGGGCCACACTCGCACCAGCAGTCATTCTCCTTGCAGATGAGCTCACCCTCTGAGCTGCATGTGATGTAGCTGAGCGCAGCGGCCACAAAGCGCTCACGCAGGTACTCGGGCAGCAGCACCTGCAGGCCTGGGGAAAGGACGTATCAGGGAGGCGTGGGGCAGAACCAGTGGGGCCTCAGTTTCCCACGCCCAAGGATATGGGGTCCGCAGCTGGGGTTCTGCTGACTTGTGTGTCCTGGGCATAAGATCGGTCACCTCAGGGCACCATCCTGCTGAGCTAGTTGGGAGAGAGGGAGACTGCTGCCCCAATGACAGATGGAGGAGGATCTGGAAATGCAGACGAGAAACATCAAAGCCCAAGGCTTAGCCGAACCCCTCACATCAGCCAAATCGAGAGCATGCATCTCATAAGAAGAGGCTTACTGGCTGTACATCAGCATTTCTAAGGTGGAAAAGGGAAGATGTTTCAGATCAAAGCAGAGCATACAGCCCTCATGGGGGAGGAACCAAGGGTTCATGAGCTTTCCCCTGCCCCAGTAGTCATCCTGTTTCTTAGCTTAACTGGGATTGGCAGTAGCCACCTTGGGAAGTTACTGGATCCTGTCCATCCTGAACATCCCCCACTAAAGACCTAGGAGGCTGGGCTAATTAGAAGAGATAGGTGTTGTTGGCTAGGCATGATGCAAAGAACTTTCTAAATATGATCATAAGTAACACTCATAGTCATATTGAGGCAGTTAAAAATGACGAAAGCAAAGTCCAGAGACTATAAGGAACCTGCCCAAGGTCACGGTGCTGGAAAAATCCACAAGGTATCAGACTCTGTCCTTTTCCCAGTCATATTTTATAATTGGGACTGGTTGCCCCAACCCAACATACTTCAACTTCTAAGGAGGCTGGGAAGCAGGATTTCTGTAGGTGTCTCGCCATCAGTCAAGCCTGTCTTGCTATGGCTCTCAGCTTGACTTTTCCAATTAGCTTCTTGTGATCTTGGCTAGACTCCACTAACTTGCTCCAGGCTTCAGCTTTTCATACCCATCTGCGGTGGATATCAGTTTCCCCCATGTTGGTCAGATAGCAGCACAACATATTCCTAGTTGGCTTCGAGGCACCACAGGGCAACTAGCTGCTGGGATCTTACCAAGGGGTGAACTAAGGGTTCAGCCTGGGCTGTGGTCACAGCCAGACATACAGGAGAATGGCCGCAAGGACCTTTCCAAGGAGGAGACGCTGTGGCAGGGGAGTGGGGGACGTCAGAGCTTCCGGGTACGAGGTGGTCCCTTTTCCTCAAGTGTCTGCCAGCTCTTTTATTTTCACACCTTTGCCCTCCTCCTTGGTATAGAGTCTGAGGTCCAGGGTATGTACCCCGGTCTCAGCAGAGCTCAATTATCTATCTTCAAGTTGCGAGCAGCCATAGGTGTGAGTTGTGCTTGATGGAGGTCTGCCTCCTCTTCTGAAGCTGCTCCTATGCCCCCTGCCTTAACAATGTGTCCACAGTGGTGCCTGAGCCCTCCTCTCCACTCACCCTGTCCATGGGCTTGGTTCAACACTCAGCCCTCTCCACGTCCTTCCGTTTTACCGGCCCCATTACTTCCCTCCTCCTCACCATAACATTTCCCACTGCT